ACCGCCGCGAGTGACACGTAGAAGGATGGGGGCGGCAGGGCTGCGTCGATGCGGCCCGAGCTGGAGCGCGCCAGCGTCGGACGCGCCAAGTGGAGGGCCATGCGTCGTAGCCTTGCGCAACAAGCTGGAGCTGCAAACTGCCGAGGTACCGGCTGCGCGGTCTGCAGGGGGGCGACTATCTCAGGCGACCAACCCCTGCTACCGGCAGCTGGCGGCTGTCAAGTGGACACCAAAGGGAAGCCTGGGAGAGCGCATCTACGGCCGCCCCCCGGCACCCAGATGGCGGCTGTCGCAGCGGGACAGCAAAGCAGGCGCGCCCAGGGGGGGTTAGGCCTGCGGGCTAGTCCCCATCTGTTGAGGGGAGAAGGGGGGGGGGGGGGGGCCGGCAAGGTCCGCGCATCCAGCGCGGCTGTCTAGCATTGCTGCGCCAGGGGGTGAGATGTGGGGAGACACCCGCCCCAGCGAGAGTTGCCCCAGGGTACTATGGCCGAGGCCAGGCGCTGCAAGGTGAAACGAGCCCCAGCCGGTGGGGCGCGGGCGGCGAGGGGGGGTTGGCGGGCGACAGGCCAGGAGTGCCGGTGGGCACGCTATCAGGTCAGCCCGAGCCTGCTACCCCTGGGCGTACTAGTCCTCCCTGTCCCACCATCGTGCACGCTTGTCTGCGCATGGATCGTCTCCCCTGGGGGAGTAGCGCTTGCCTTTCCCTTTTCAATCTGTTTCCGTCCACGGTGCTATCTGGTGGCTCCAGGAGTCCCACTCCTGCCATTCGTGCCAGCGGGAGGGGGTGGCGGTGCCGATGGCACCTGCCCAGCGATCATGCACGGGTGCCGCCGTGGCTGCCCTGCCTTTTGCTGTCCAGGGGGCGGATCCACTGCTGCTGGCGGGCCCGCGCTGAGCGTGGGTCTTGGGTTCGCGTTGGAGGAGCTTCGTGCGCTTGTCCTTGACCGACGGCCAGTGGACGCTGAGCCTTTGGTCTCTGTCCATTTTGTAGGCGTCGTACCCTGCGCAGCCCCGCGCCTGGATGAAATCGTTGCACAACTGGGCCGTGCCCCGTTTGGGGTCGTGCTTTTCGCTGCCGCTGGCCCCTTGCATCATGGCGGCCTTCTTCACCTATGTGGCCCAAACTCCGTTGAACGCTCCTCCCAGCGTCTTTTGAAGGCGTACTATCTTCTCCTGCACGGGTTCATCCTTTGCGACGTCGGCCTCGGCAACGGAGCACATGTAGATGGGGATGCCCCCCATGGGGTCGCTCGGGTTGCCTCGGGGAGGCAGTGTGTCCCTTACATCCTTCCAGGGCGCCTCGGAAATGTGTACCCGAGCTGGGTCGCCTCTTGGGGACTTGGTGGCGCGGGCGCCCCCTCCCCTGGCGTCGTCCCACGCGGGTCGGCGGCGGCCCCTGTCACCGTTCCCGCGGTTGAGGGTACGGTCATCCCTGCCGTCATTGATGCTCCAAGGTGCGCTGTCTGCTCTTCGTGGGCTGTCTTTCGCGCTCTTGATTACACGGACGGCGTTCCTGACGACGACGCGGTCGCATGGGGGCCAGGCGTCGGGCCTGTCGGGTGTCTCTGGGAAGAGTTTGAGGGGGTCCCCTTCTTCGTCGACGGCCACCAGCGTCGGGCTGAGCTCTGGGCTCGGGTCCTTGGCGCAGTCGGTTTCGCTTGTATCGTCCCCTTCCCCTCCCCAATCGATCCCGTCAGGTTCGCCTTCGATCTTGCGTGCCTGGCCTGTTGGGGCCCTCCCCTCTGTCTGAGGGACGCGCCCCCCGTCTGTGCCTGCGGCGGGGGGGGGGGACTCTGGTGGCATGGGCAGAGATGTCCTCTCGTGCCGGTACAACACTGCTTGCTGGGGGGGGGGTCCTCGGCGCCGGCCGCTCTGTTCAGCCAGGTTGCTGCTGGTGAATCACCAGCCCCTGAAACGCCTACTACGGCCTCGCGCGGGTCACGCTTGGTCAGGACAGTGGCAGTACCCCAGGCCAAGGCAGCCTGCTCAATCTTCATGAGGAAAGTGAGTAGTGTGCCGATACGCTGTCGGAAGGGGCAGTGGCTTTTCTGCTCAGTCAGGTTGGCTGCGTAACTTCCCCGTTTGATCTCGTAAAGTGGTATACCACTCTAGCCACTGCAACCCGCTGCCCGTCCCAGGGGATGTCGGGGGGGTGGCCGTTGTTTGGGATCGAATCTCCGCAGATCATTACCAGGAAAGGGAGCAACCTTGCTGTGGGCCACGATCCCTCATCTGCGCTGTCCCCTGGGCTGCCATCTCCGCACCGCAGCACGAAGTCTTCCCAACATTTGTAGACGGTAGGATTCCATTCCAGCAGGTATTTCACCAAGGAGTGCACGGGGCCGTCAGATTCCACCCCGGAGAGCCTGAGGGCGGATTGGGTTGGTAGGATTGGGCACTCTGGGGGGTCCACGGCGGGGAACACGGAGCTGCTGTCGCGACCGACCCTGACAGGCGCACTGCTTTCTCCTGCCGCCCGGCTGTGCTCTCTGTCGTTGGGGGTGAGCTCGTCCCTAGGGGCCGATTGCCTTGAGTATGTGTCCTTTGCAGCTGCGTCGACGCCTGTTGGGGAGAGGTGGACGCTGATGTCGTAGCTGTCCTCCTGCACTTTTGCTGCTGCTGTGCGTTTGGTGGGGGTGGGGGGATATACTTTGGAAGAGTACTGCTCCAGGATGCGGTCGAACGTGCCGGGCGCAACGTTCCAGATGTGGATGAGGCATCGTCTACAGGCCCAACCTGCGTTCCACTGCTGCTGGGTCCAGAGCGTGGGCATGGTATCCCAATGCGGGAGCCCTGTCTCGTCGTTGCGTGGCGCACCTGGCTCAGGGCTCCACATGAAGCAGCCGACTGCAGGGCTGTTTGTAGACCACACAAGCAGTGGCGACCCCGCGGGGCAGGTGCCGCACATGGCTGAGTAGGTGTTCGTCTGGTGTGAGTCGGGCCCGAACCTGCCGTCGGACAGCTTATGGGCGGGGAGGGTGGTGCCCACTGCCCGCGGTCTGTGGACGGGCGGGGTGTTCATGACCAGGTCGCGCAGGCAGGAGGGGAACTGCGTGGTGTCTGGTTGCCCGTACCCGATTGGGAACCGGTCCAGGGGGGGGAGAGTGCGGGCTCTCTTTCGGTAGCGGGCGTCATCCAATGTGCGCTTGTACGTCAGTAGGCGCTGCTGGAGCGACTTCTTTGTGGTGAGGCCCTTGTTTTCGACCAGGGGAACCTCGATGCCTCTGCTTTCCAGCGACTTGATCCAGCACAGCTCGCACAGCCACCTGCAGTCTCGGCCTTGCAGGTACGCTTGGGCGCGGTCGTGCGCCAGGAGCTCCCTTGTGTCGTCGTCTTCCCAAGTGCCTGCCGAGCCTTGCAACCCGGTGTTCAGGCACCCGTCGCAGTCGAAGCTGCCGACCTGCTGCCTGGTCAGGAACCTGTCGTCGCTTACCTTGGGTGGGTTGAGTGCAAGTGGGGATACGCGAAGCGTCTACAATTACTGCACGGCCGATGTGAAATCCTTGTGGCGCCCGTGCAGTTCGCCATGTGGTGCAACATACCAGATGAAACATGTACGGTGCAGTACTTGTCGTGTAAGGTGTGTGGTGCAGGCGTGCTGTGTAATGTATGCAGGCGGTGTTGTGTAAGCTATAAAGGATGTGTGGTGTACCATGTAGAACCAGCTATGCTGTGACACTTACGTGGTGTAAGCTATGCGATGTATGTTACACTTTGCAAACTACGTTGTGTCAGTTAGGTGGTGCAAACCGTGTGTCGTCTGTCATATGTGGTGCAAACTATGTTGGGTGGGAACTGTGCTATGTCGCGCAATAAATGTGGCGCCTGCGTGGTAGGTGGGCGACCACGAGGCGACCACTGGCGCCCACCAAAGGGAAACCAGGAAAACCCACACGCAGCGCACATGGCGCCCACGTGGAACCCACGGGCGCCCGCTAAACGAACATCGGGAGAGTAGCCAGCGCACGGGGTGCAGGCGAGGCGCCCGTGGGCGCTCACCAGGTGAAAAGCTGGATAACACAGCCAGTGCACTGAGCGCCCACGAGGCGCCCACGGCCGCCCAGCAGGCGAAAGCTGGGAAACCCATTCAGTCACTTAAAAACCAACGAACAGTAAGAGCCACTAAGTGTAGGCATTGTTTGAGGAAGAAAGGCAAGCGATCACGACAACGACAGGTCTGACATCAAAGCCGACGGGCGGACAGAGCATGAAACGTAGATCTCATTCGTTGAGGACAAGGTTGGTCGTCATCTGTTTAGAGTCGTCATTTGCGTCGTCGTGTTCGTCGCTGTTGTCGTGGTCGTCGCCGTGTCCGTCGTCGTGCTCGTCGTGTTCGTCGTTTGCTTGCGCGCGGGGGGGTGGTTCTAACCCCCATCCCGCTTGCGAATGGGGGGTTCAATCCCCCCCACCTCACACAGACGCACTTTGGGCGGGGAAGGCAAAAGAATGCAACGACTTTGTGGAAGGGTGCCGGTTGGGAACCAACCGCCTGCGAGCACCCACAAGGGGTGCTCTTTCTGACCGAGGGTCCTCCCGCTCCCCCCCTCCACTTTTCCCTCCTCCTCCTCCGCCCCCTCCTCCCCCCTCTCCCCCTCCTCCTCCTCCTCCTCCTCCTCCTCCCTCCTCTCTCCTCCTCCTCCTTCCTCCTCCTCCTCCTCCCTCCTTCCCCTCCTCCTCCCTCCTCTCCTCCGCCTCCCTCCTCCGCCTCCTCCTCCTCCTCCTCCTCCTCCTCCTCCTCCTCCTCTCCTCCTCCTCCCCCTCCCCTTCTGCCTCTTCTGTTGTTTCCTCCTCCTCCTCCTCCTCCTCCTCCCTCCTCCTCCTCCTCCTCCTCCTCCTCCGCCTCCTCCTCCTCCTCCTCCTGCGCCTCATCCTCCTCCTCCTCCTCCTCCGGCGCCTCCGCCTCCTGCTCCTCCTGCTCCTCCTCCTCCTCCTCCTCCTCCTCCTCCTCCTCTGCCTCTTCCGTTTCCTCCTCCCCTCTGCAGACGCCCGCCAGCACGCGCCTCTTTCAGGGCTGCCGCCCGGTCGAAGTCGTCGGCGGCCGCTGCCGCCTCCTGGCCGGACGCTCGAGCGGGCGAGCCGCCGCGGGCTCGAGCAGGGTGCCGACCCCGATCTGGCGCCCTTTCCTGCTCCTCCTGTTCCTCCTCCTCCTGCTCCTGCTCCTCCGCCGCCTCCTCCTCTTCCTCTTCCTCCTCCTCCTCTCCTCCTCCTCCTCCTCCTCCTCCTCCTCCCCCTCCTCATCAGCATCATCATCATCATCATCATCATCATCATCATCATCATCATCATCATCATAATCATCATCATCATCATCATCATCATCATCATCATCATCATCATCATCATCCCATCCCTCGTCCTTCTCTTCTTCCTCGTCCCCCTTGCATCATTCGGTCAACGTGAGCGACGAGGCTGTTGCGTTGTTGTCGACCAGGGGGAATCCGAGAGTGGGACACTCAGTAAAACCACCCGAACGCAGATTTAGCGGTGCTGGAAATGCAAAGAGACACAGACAAGTAGAGAGGCCCATGCAGGGCACACACATATATATATATATATATATATACTAGAACCATCGCGCGCTTCGCGCGCGCTTTGGTTCTAGCCGAGATCACGGCAAGGCCCTGGCAGAAGTATCAAGGCAGGGCTTTTCTTATGTGCATATATACATATATCTGTCCGTCCTTCTCCTCCTAATCCTCCTTCTCCTCCTCCTTCTTCTCTTCTTCCTCCTCCTTCGTCCTCGTCCTCCTCCCCTTCCTCGCCTGTCTCTTTCCTCCGTTTCCTTAGTTCCCTTCCTTCTCCTCCACCACCTCCTCCTCCTCCTCCTTTCCTTCCTCATTTGCGTCTGCTCCTCCTACACGTTCTTCTCCTCCTCCTCTTCCCTCTCCTCCTTTTCCCCCCCCTCCTCCTCCTCCTCCTCCTCCTCCTCCTCCGCCCCTCCCTCCTCCTCCTCCTCCTCCTCCTCCTCCTCCTCCCTCCTCTCTTCCCCCTCCTCCTCCTCGATATCCTTTGCCCCCCTCCCCCCCCCTCCCCCCCCCCCCCCCCCCCTTCCCTGGTCCGGGCGCCCCCCGATCCGGGCGCCCCCCCCCGGTTCGGATACCTCTGGGGGCCGTAGGCCCCTCGACCCTTGAAGTCGGCCCCAGGAGTCCTCCGAATCCGTCGGTCCCTGGACGCTCGTGACCTCTAGGGTCGAAGATCCTCAATCGCGACCCCGCGACCCATCGGCTTCCGAGACTCTTCGGCCCCGGGACCCGCGGAGCGACGAGGAAGGACACGCGGCAGAAGCAAGGGAGAGAGAGAGAGAGAGAAGTCGAGGGGGAGCAGGAGGAGGCGGAGGAAGAAGAGGGAGAGGAACAGGAATAGGAGGAAGAGCAGCCAGAGGAGGAGGATCAGAGGAAGGAGGAGGAGGGGGAAGGGCCGCCCAGGGGGGATCAGGCGCTTGAGCAAGGGGATGGGACTTATGTCCCCGGGAGTCTTCTTGGGAACATCTTGCGCGATAGGAGGAGGAAGAGCCCGAGAAAGAATAGGAAAAAAGAAGGAGGATCATATCGGCGAGGTGGAGAAAGGGAGGCGCGCGGAATTACATTCCCGGGAAGCTTCCCGAGAACATATTTCGTGACAGCAGGAGGAAGAGGAGCCCGAGAAGGAGGGGGGCAGGAAGGAGGAGGAGGGCTAGAGCAGGAGGAGGAATCTCGAGAAGGAGGAGGAGGAGGAGGAGGAGGAGGAGGAGGTGGAGGAGAAGGAGGAGGAGGAGGAGGAGGGGGGGGAGGAGCAGGAGGATGAGAAGGACGAGGAAGACAGACACGCAGGACAAGGTGAGCGGCAGGAAGAGGAGGGGGAGCAGGACGAGCAGGACGTAAGGAGTAGGCGGAAGGGAATGAGGGTGAGGAGGAGAAGAAAGGGAGCGGGAGGAAGGGAGGTTCAGGGGGAGCAGGAGGAGGTAGAAGAAGGACAGGGGGAGGTGCAGGAGTAGTATGTTGAGCAGTCGCAGCAGGAGGAGGACATGGGAAGAAAGTCGAAGAGGCAGGGTGGCGAATAACAAAAGAAACACTCGAACAAAAGCAAAGAAATGATGTTCCTGGCAGGCGCTCCGGGAACATACTTCGAGAGACCGGGAGAGAGCTCCACAAGTAGGTGGGTGAGAAGGTGGAGAAGGGGAGCGGGAGGAGGGGGAAGGGGGAGGTGCGGGAGTAGCACGAAGAGCAGCCGCAGCAGGCGGAGGATCAGGGAATGACGATGGAGCAGTGCGGCGAGAACAAAAAAAACACTCGAGGAATGCTGTTCCTGGCAGTTCCGGGAATATGTTTATATGTCCTGAGACCGGGAGAGAGCTGGACAACCAGAAGAAATGAGGAGCAGGAAGGTGATAAGGCGGACGAGAAAGGGTGAGACGCAGTTTTTCAAGCCTCTTGGGGTATGCTTTGGTGTATCTCGGGGCCTTTTTTGGCCTCTTGGGCGGCCTGGGCATGTGGAGGGCCTCTGTGAGCTTTTTTTCGCCTCTCGGGGTCCGTGCCGGAACTCTTTTGGACCGTTTTCGGTGCCTCTTGTGTCGTCTTGGGGCCCTCTTGGGCCGTCGTGGGGGCCGCTTGGAGCTCTCTGGGGCCGTCTTGGTGCGGTGTAGGAGGCGTCGTGGGCCGTCTTGGATCGCTCTGGGGCTGGTTTTGGGCCTCCGTCCGAAAGTCAACAAGATGTCCGGGGTCGCCGCTGCCGCCTCGGAGGCCCTGGAACGCCGAAACCCTGTAAAAACATAAGGAAAGTGAGCCCCGGAGCTCCCATGGAGGGCGCAGGTCCACTCCTGGCGGCCTCCCTCGGAGGCCCTGGAACGCCGAAACCCTGTAAAAGCACAGGGAAAGTGAGCCCCGTGGCCCCCATGGGGGTCCGAGGTCCCAATCTGGCGGCCCCAGGTCCCGTTCCCCGGTATATATCCGCCGGCCCCCTTGTGGGGCCACCAGGCTGTAGGCGCGGGTTCGCAGCTTCCAGTACCAGTTGTAGCTTGTAGTTTCCAGTGTTACAGTTCTGCCTCTTGCTGGTTACTGTAACTAGTTGATTGACCGCGCGAGGGGGGGGAGGCCCAAACATGATTTTTTAGCACCCCCTGGGCGCGTTGTCTGAATTGCTGGGGGGGCTCGAAATCAACACCACTCACGCAGATCCGCGGGGTCAGGGTCCAAAAACACAAGGGATTTGCCACATTTCTGAAATTCGGTGCCACCCCTCACGCAGATCCGCGGGGTCAGGGTCCAAAAACACATGGGATTTGCCACATTTCTGAAATTCGGTGCCACCCCTCACGCAGATCCGCGGGTCAGGGTCCAAAAACACAGGGGATTTGCCACATTTCTGAAATTCGGTGCCACCCCTCACGCAGATCCGCGGGGTCAGGGTCCAAAAACACATGGGATTTGCCACATTTCTGAAATTCGGTGCCACCCGTCACGCAGATCCGCGGGGTCAGGGTCCAAAAACACATGGGATTTGCCACATTTCTGAAATTCGGTGCCACCCCTCACGCAGATCCGCGGGGTCAGGGTCCAAAAACACAAGGGATTTGCCACATTTCTGAAATTCGGTGCCACCCCTCACGCAGATCCGCGGGGTCAGGGTCCAAAAACACAGGGGATTTGCCACATTTCTGAAATTCGGTGCCACCCCTCACGCAGATCCGCGGGGTCAGGGTCCAAAAACACATGGGATTTGCCACATTTCTGAAATTCGGTGCCACCCCTCACGCAGATCCGCGGGGTCAGGGTCCAAAAACACATGGGATTTGCCACATTTCTGAAATTCGGTGCCACCCCTCACGCAGATCCGCGGGGTCAGGGTCCAAAAACACAGGGGATTTGCCACATTTCTGAAATTCGGTGCCACCCCTCACGCAGATCCGCGGGGTCAGGGTCCAAAAACACAGGGATTTGCCACATTTCTGAAATTCGGTGCCACCCCTCACGGACATCCATCGCAAGGCGTGGTAACCCAAACTGCGAGTACTCCCTCGGCCCTTTAATCCCAAGGTGTGGTAACCAAGCTCGTAAACCATACACGTCTTACCAATCGCCCTGTGTGGTAACCCCTCTTGTGATCAGTTGGTTTTGCCGATTGCGAATCGGCCTCGCATGAAGTTCCGATACTGCTGCGCGACAGCGCCAAAGCCTCATGACTTAGCTCTTCCATGGCCCGTTCTCCGAGAGAGGGGGCCGGCGGCAGGGGGCGAAGCCCTTACGGATATATATATATATATATATATATATATATATATACATACATACATACATACGAGTAACGACCGCTCTGCGGTTGATCGGGAGTTTCTGTATATAGTTGAGGGAACGCGCGTTTGTGGGCGCGCGCTTCTGGGCGCTTCTGGGCCGGAGGGAGACGCTGCGCTCTCGCGGAGGTCAAGATGGCGGTCGCAACAACGTCAAGCATTCTGGAAACAAAAACTCGCAGCTTGCGCTTCGCTGTCTTGCCTGCCACGTGCACTCTAGCAGAGGCCACCAATCCCGATGGATCGCGCACCCGTCTCCATTGATCGCGATCCCGCAGCTGCACTTGCCATCCACTCCCGCGCACGGTGCCCCAGTCAAGGGCCGGACGCAGGGAATCGGGGCGCGTGAAATTCCAAGGACTTCGCTAGAACCTCCCAATCCGTCGCTTGGGATTCGTCGGCGGATCCAGCGGATCTGTGCGGAAACGGTGCCGGAGGCCGCTCTGGGCTCCTCTGGGCACCTCCCCCGGGGCCGGTTTTGTGAGGATGTCTCAAGCGAGGGCGCCGGTTTGGGATTCGTCGGCGGATCCAGCGGATCTGTGCGGAAACGGTGCCGGAGGCCGCTCTGGGCTCCTCTGGGCACCTCCCCCGGGGCCGGTTTTGTAAGGATGTCTCAAGCGAGGGCGCCGGTTTGAGATTCGTCGGCGGATCCACCGGATCTGTCCGGAAACGGTGCCGGAGGCCGCGCTGGGCTCCTCTGGGCACCTCCCCCGGGGCCGGTTTTGTGAGGATGTCTCAACCCTGAGGTTCGATACCGGTAAAAATAGCAGTTGCAGAAAATATCTG